GCCATGAGCCCCGGCTCCAGCTGCAGGGCCCTCGAGCCGGGCTCCTTCTCGCGCAGAAATCTCACGTCAAATCTCACGTCCAAGGTCACTTCACTGCGCAGGAGGTCGCCCGGGCAGGGTGCAGCACAGGGGAAGCGGCGGGGCCCTGGTGAAAGCAGGGGCTGGGGGCACTGCGTGCCATTAACTACTTGAAGGCGACGGAGCCCATCGCTGGGTACAGCCACAGTGAAGACGTTACCAAACAGGAGTTACACCAGGAGTGCAAGGGAGCCGGTCCCATCGCAGCACCTCTGCTCTCGGCTGTGCGGCAGGGCAGTGTCACCTCCAGCATATTTCGGAGTTCACAGCAACTGGGAATGGTTTCCAAAAGGTAAAAGAGCGGTGCGTGGCTACGAGGAAAAACCACCGTATCGAAACTCTCCCCAAATGTAGTAAAGTGCTCTGAGCCAGCAGAATTCCAAAATTACATTCTTCTTTTTAATAAACTCGGTACATCGTTTCCTGATTTTCACTGAGAGGTTGGAGAAATTAGCAAACTCTTGAGAATTAACAGACACAGTCTGATCCTATAAACTATTAATACCTACATATTCTGACAGAATATCTAACAAATGATCATCTGATAGCAGGGCTATAAACAGCCCAGCAAAGAAGGTATTTGTAATTCATATGCACAAATTAATTACATGAATAAATATAAAATTATTAAAAATAGAAAATAGTCATGAAAATTCAGGAGAGAGAGAATTTACAAGGCACACATGGAGTGAAGCTTTAAGAACAGTATAATAAGAGCGAAATCCAGCAAATTGCACGATACGGAGGCAGTGGTTACATCAGTCTCTTTATGTAAGAGCAAATGAGGTATCAAGGTCTCTTATGAGAATAACGTGTAACTCCAGAACCAACGCACCCCTCAGGCACTCTGACTCTCTCCTCGTGCATTTTGTTCCATCTTCATACTCCTCTTCTGGCATCTTACCCCGCCATGCTAGAAGAATCAACCCAGGATAGTCCCAAATCTTCCCCCGCTAAGGGCAGCCACCTTCCAGGCCACCTTCTTCCCCCTCCACAACACTGTTTTTTTTTTCCCCATACCTAAAATTATACAAAGGGAGGAAGCTTGTACTCAGGAAAAAAAAAAGGTGGAGGGAGAGAAGGGGAAGCAGAAACAAGTAGCTTCACAAGGCAAAATGTCCTTTCCTATAGAATTCAAATTGTAGCGAGCAAGCACACCCTGTCTACAAGTGCCGAGACCTGAAACACGTTTTCATTCCATCTGTTTGTGAAGCATGAAGAGCATGAGCAGACCCAGACCTTCTGAGCTTTCTTTGAAAACATCCATAGATGTGATGCTATCACAGTTGCAAAGCTTCTTTCCTTTGCCTCCTTTAAGTCCTCTGTGAAAATTCTTTCTTGCATGAAATTTTACATTAATCATAACACATTTTAAAGCAATTCTTTATTTTTTACTGTCAATTTGGGAGCAGTAGTAAAGAATACACAAAACTGATTCATTGGAAGTAAGAAAAAAAAAGTAACAAAATATTTTTGCACATTATTTAGAAAAATGTATGTTCTAGAAAATCCAATGATCTGGAAAGCCTGCCCTTGTGCACTGCTTCAAGGAGCAAGCAATATGTGTAAGAGTCATTTAGGTCCTTGATATCCTTAGGAGACCACGGATACGTCTAACAAGAGCTTGAATAAAGGTGTAGCGTGACCGAACCTTGGAATACAACCCTTCTATGTCCAGGAGCTTCTTCTGCAGAGATTCACCAAAACTGTTGGTGGCTTCAAGCTGAAGCTGAAAAGAGAGATTTGAGAGGTTTGCTGCAGTAAAAATACAAAGTCTTCAATTTCTAAAATGTCCTCTTATACATCCCCAGCTACCTGGGGCATTATTCTTCTTTCAGCAGCTTTCAAAAGTATATGCTTTTTCTGTTTCCCCTAGTAAATACTGCTTGCATTCTTCTCCTATGTTTCTTTCTTAAGTCACATAATGAAGGGCATTTCTATGGATGTTCTGAGGTCCCTCAAAGTATTTGGGGCTTAACTGCATATTACAACTTCACAATCTCTGCAAGTATTTGAGGAATTAAACCGTCTGTGTAATTTGACCTTTTCATCTATAGCCATTCCAGTCGAAGTTTTTGTAGTCTTTTAAGGACTCCATGTTCATATGTCAACATTTTTTCATTAATACATATGTGTATACTGAAAAAAATCAATCATATTCTAAGTATTTTAGCAAGATGTTACTAGGCATTTTACTTTAAAACAAATGAACTGAAGACAGAAGCTGCATTATAAAATTTACCATTTAGGATGATTAATAATGGTATTTGAGAATAAGCAGGTTTTTGAGCACATTTTTTCATGCAAAAATAGCAGTAGAAATGTTAGTTCTGCCAAAAATGATGTTTATTAGTACAAATGATTTTTTTTTCTGCTGACTGTAAGTCCAATTAACATGAACTATGCAATTGCCGGGCAAGTAGAAATCACTTATCTCTGGCATTCATGATTTATAGTCTCCTCAGTCTCTGTTACACTTCTCAATCTCAGCTCTGTACAGCCTATCTGAATCTGACTAAAACATCTACAAATTCAGAAAAAAATTTGGAATCCTACTCTCATCTTGTAAGTCTTTCCAGGATAGCTTATGACTTCAGAAAGCTATTACCAAAAATAAGCGTATTTGATTAGTTTAAAAATAAGAATAATTAATAGTATTTGTTATACTCTGGCTTATTTTCATTTTATAGTTAATGAAATAATAAATATTTTCTTTGTTTATATTAAGACTTGAAAATATGTGTGTAGTAGTGCAGCTACTACCTGTGCCGTAAGTCCTTCAAAAATGCTGCAACACTTCGCTAGTCCTACAATAAATTCTACAAAAAACTGGGATTACCGTGGACTGGTTAGAGATGGGAAAGTTACAGTTGGACTGCTCTCAACAGAGAGCCCACTGTAAACTTCCAGTGAGCAACACTCACCTGATCTATGTCATGCTGGCTCACTCGATTCAGG